AAAGCTCATCAACAATTTCCAAGACTAACAGTAGCATTTTTGCCAACAATGGTCATTGTACTTTCCTAATTGCAAAGTTATTTTAACTTAGGTAAGGTTATAGTGTACAGATACTGTAAACCTTCCATTTAATGGGCTAATGAGGACTCGAGTGGTCAGTAATGGTGAGAGAAACAAGACTGTCTTGGTATGATTGTAACTGATAATGCTGTAGCCAACCAACTTGGTCCACTACTGTTTCTCACTCAATTTTGTCCCATATTTCTAAACCAAAAGTTTGTATAAAAAAATTTAACATTAAGATAAAAAAAAATATTAATGGAAAAATTTTGGTTATTTTCTCAAGTTTATTTAATAAGGTTTGTCATATTCAAGCCATCCTAAATACATCATTCATTTTCTGACTTATTTGTAAGTATTTACGAACAATACCTTAATCTTAGTGATTAGTGTTTTTATTTAATAAATGTATGGAATAGGGTAAGGTACCTAGGGACTGGCAGAGCGTATGCATAGTTCCTTTGTATAAAGGTAAAGGGAACAAAAGAGTAAAATTATAGGGGAAGAAGTCTGTTGAGTATACCTGGTAAAGTTTATGGCAGAGTTATTATTTAAAGAATTAAGAGGAAGACAGATCAGGATAGCAGATGAACAAGGCAGCTTCAGGAAGGGTAGGGGGTGTGCAGACCAAGTGTTTACAGTGAAACATAGGTGAACAGTATTTAGATAAGGGTAAACAGGTTTTTCGTGGCATTTAAGGATTTGTAAAAGGTGTATGATAGGGTGGATAGGAGGGCAATGTGGCAGATGTTGCTAATGTATGGAATAGGAGGTAGGTTATTGAAAAAAGTGAAGTCTTTATGAGGATAGAGAGGCTCAGGTTAGAGTATGTAGGCAAGAGGGAGACTATGTCCCAGTAAAAGTAGGCCTTAGACCACTGTTTGTCAATATATTTATAGAGGGAGTTGTAAGAGAAGTGAATACTCAGGTGTTGGCAAGAGGTGTGAAGTTAAAAGATAAAGAATCTAATACAAAGTGGGAGTTGTCACAGCTGCTCTTTGCTGATGACACTGCTTTTGGGAAATTCTGAAGAGAAGTTGCAGAGGTTGGTTCATGAGTTTGGTAGGGTATGTAAAAGAAGGAAATTAAAAAGTGAATAAAGGAAAGAGTAAGGTGATGAGAAAAAAAAAAGGTAATGGAAGATTGGATATCAGACTGGAGGGAGAGAGTATATAGGAGAATGTATTCAGATATTTGGGAGTGGACATGTCAGCAGATGGGTCTATGAAAGAAGAGGTAAATCATAAAATTGATGAGGGGAAAAAGGCAAGTGATGCATTAACAAATCTGTGGAGACAAACTTTATCCATGAAAGCAAAGAGTGGAATGTATGAGAGTATAGTTATACCAATATTCTTGTGTGTGAGGCATGGGTTGTGAATGTTGCAACAAGAAGGCTGGGGGCAGTGGAGATGTCATGTCTGAGGGCAATGTATGGTGCGAGTATAATGCAAAGAACCCGTAGTTCTGATATTAGGTGGTGTGGGATTACTAAAACTATTATCCAGAGGGCTGAGAAGTTATTGAGATGGTTTCGACATGTAGAGAGGATGGAACAAAACTGAATGATGAGTGTATAAACATGTAGTGGAGGGAAGGTGGGGTAGGGGTCGACCTAGGAAAGGTTGGAGGGAGGGGGTAAAGGAGGTTTTGTGTGCAAGGGGCTTGGACTTCCAACAAGCATGTATGTGTTAGATAGGAGCAAATAAAGACAAACGGTTTTTAGGACTTGACATATTGTTGGAGTGTAAGCAAGGTAACATTTATGAAGGGATTCAGGGAATCCGGTAGGCCTGACTTGATTCCTGGAGATGGGAAGTACAGTGCTGGCACTCTGAAGGAGGGGTGTTAATGTTGTAGTTTTATAACTAGTGTAAGCATGCCTCTGGCAAGACCGTGATGGAGTCAATGATGAAAGTTTTTCTTTTTTTCAGGCCACTTTGCCTTGGTGGGAAACTGCCAATGTGTTAATAAAAAAAATAAAATCTTAATGTGAAAATTCAGCCTATAGAATAATAGTTACTCAAGCTTAGGTTATAATAAGCTTGAAGAAAAAACAATTTCAGACTTCACATGAGATTTATTGATACTATTTAAAATATAAACTGGGAAAGTATGCTGAATCTCAACTAAAACACAATTTGCAGAAAAGAAATCTTAAACAGCTTTATCACCATCATACACACTGCCCACAAAAATTAAAACAAATAACATCTAAAAGGCAAAATAACCTCTGGCTCACAAAAAAAACTTTCTCAGATTAATTAGAAACAATGAAAAATAGTATACGTATATATACATATGATAGGCCTCATCTCCAAGGGCATAGTATAGATACGTACTCTGTAACCCACGTAAGTATAGTTGGAAGGTACAACAAAACTATTATTTAACTAAATTTAATGATGCCAGAGGAGATATAAAAACTGAAAAAAAAAAAAATAAAATAAATTAATAATAATCTATTTCTACAAATACATAATACAACTTACACAGACCTAGCTGACATCAGTGACATACTATATAGAAACCCCCTGGTTATACCTGGAAGGCATTTTGGGGGCCAACAACCCTGCGGCCCTGTCCATAACCAGGCCTTGCACAGCATTTCAAGCAACTTACGTTAATTGTGTCCCCCAGGATGTGACCCCACACTAGTCAGCTAACACCCAGGTACCTACTTACTGCTAGGTGAACAGGAACAGGTGTTGTCTTAAGGAAACACACCCAATGTTTCCACTCGTACTAGGAATTGAAGCACAAAAACTATGTATTAGCCGAGTGTTACTGTCAACACCCTCTGTACCTTCTCTTACAGTAGGAACTCATCTTGCAAAATCAACATATTTTAGGAATAAACTTTTGTAAAAAAATTAAAAAGCCAAGATAACACCCACAAAAGGTGGCGTGTCAAATGATGTTAACTAAAGACCAAATTACAATTAACCAATGTCAAAAATATATGATAAAGTAATCCACAAGCAGTGCAGGAATATACTTAGCCAAGAACAAACAAAAATTTTTGTTTAGATGGCAACTATCAGAATTATTAACCTTGAAGGTTAGTAGCCTAGGACAGTTAAATGCGTCATCTGGTGACATGTCAGTCTTATTTCCACTGGAGTCCTTTAATCCTTTTCCCACAGTATGTGACCCACAATGGTCAACTGACACCTATGTATGTACTTAATGGTAGATGAACAGGTGTAAAGAAACATGCCCAATGTTTCACCTGTGTTGGGTAGCAATCACAGTCCCTAAAGACACTATCCAACATGCCATAAGCCATATGCAAGTTAGAAATTTTGGGTTATCCTAGGTAACTGTACTTATGTGTACCTGTACCTAAATAAAACTTACTAGGTTAGGGTGTGTTGTTTGGTTAGGTTAAGCTAGGGCGAGTTAAACTGGGTTAAGCTAGGGCGAGTTAAACTGGGTTAGGCTAGGGCGAGTTAAACTGGGTTAGGCTAGGGCAAGTTAAACTGGGTTAGGCTAGGGCGAGTTAAACTGGGTTAGGCTAGGGCGAGTTAAACTGGGTTAGGCTAGGGCGAGTTAAACTGGGTTAGGCTAGGGCGAGTTAAACTGGGTTAGGCTAGGGCGAGTTAAACTGGGTTAGGCTAGGGCGAGTTAAACTGGGTTAGGCTAGGGCGAGTTAAACTGGGTTAAGCTAGGCGAGTTAAACTGGGTTAGGCTAGGGCGAGTTAAACTGGGTTAGGCTAGGGCGAGTTAAACTGGGTTAGGCTAGGGCGAGTTAAACTGGGTTAGGCTAGGGCGAGTTAAACTGGGTTAGGCTAGGGCGAGTTAAACTGGGTTAGGCTAGGGCAAGTTAAACTGGGTTAGGTAGGGCAAGTTAAACTGGGTTAGGCTAGGGCAAGTTAAACTGGGTTAGGCTAGGGCAAGTTAAACTGGGTTAGGCTAGGGCAAGTTAAACTGGGTTAGGCTAGGGCAAGTTAAACTGGGTTAGGCTAGGGCAAGTTAAACTGGGTTAGGTTAGGGCAAGTTAAACTGGGTTAGGTTAGGGCAAGTTAAACTGGGTTAGGTTAGGGCAAGTTAAACTGGGTTAGGTTAGGGCAAGTTAAACTGGGTTAGGCTAGGGCAAGTTAAACTGGGTTAGGCTAGGGCAAGTTAAACTGGGTTAGGCTAGGGCAAGTTAAACTGGGTTAGGCTAGGGCAAGTTAAACTGGGTTAGGTTAGAATTACTTAGAATGGGTTACATCAGGCCAGGCTAAGCATTGTTAGGTTACCAACAAAACACTATCCCAATAGGACTAAAATATCTGTAGAACACAAATGGAGGAGAATTTACATAACCCTCTTAAGCTGAATTCTGCGCAGCTAAATGTAATATTGATGGAGGAACTTCACTGACATCAAAACATCTTCCATGAAATTAAGATCACTTACGAGTTAGTTTACATATTAACGGGTGGTACAGTAGGGCCCCTACGAGTTTAGTGTTTTCTCATGCATAACAGCTCAATGTAGGTGTGTTAACCTGTGCGCTCAAACCTTAATAACCTTTTATTACCGTACTCAAAGGGAAGCAATAAACCTGTAAGGGCATGGGAGGTAAACACGTATGATCCAAGGGTCGAGTAGCTCTAATTCTTTGGATCAAGAGCCTTTGAGAATCATCAAGGCACCTCCCATTGAAGTCTTCCTTTAAGTACTCCTCAAACAGTCTAGATGACTAAAAAATATTTAAAAATCCGGCATGACGAGCAGGTGAGCCTCAGCCCCACCCACCCCACTAACTCTCACTTATTTACCCAAATAATCCATATACAACGCCCCGTGGCTGTAGTATTAACGTGAATTCTAGTACCAGGTGGCCCCCACAAACCCTACAACAAGAGATTATAAGTCATAGGTCCATTAAAAAGGGCTAGGAAGGCGAGCCTTGAAACAAGTGCAGCGATCATAACAAACCACCAGCCTACCTCCAAGGTATATTTAAGCTGGATATTCTCGTAGCTAGTCCAAGCTTCATCTGCTGCAGCTTGATCCAAGTTCAGGTCTAGAGAAAGGTCGGTGTATTTCCTCTTCACGCTGAAGTTTCGCTCAGTCTGACTCATATTTCAAGGGAGAGAAGAGGGAGAGTGAAGAGCGAGGGAACACCTCCACCAGCAGCTTCACTCAAGTGATGGCTTCTGGCGGGAAACCTAACAACACCCCTCCCACCGTCCCTCCCTCCGCTACACCACCTAGATCCTAAATAACACTCAACCATACACTCATACGCATTCATACACACTCATACACATACCTCTACCAACATTCATACTCACACATCCACTAAATACTAACTTAGGAGGTTTTAGTCTCATTCGCCTCCTCATTTAGGCCATAATTCGCCTGCGCACTATCATCATTTATATACCTAAAATAAAGATTATTTTCAGTGAATATACAATAAAATAAACACTCTCGATATACATACCTTAAAAATCAACCTTATTTAGTACCATACATGCATATATACATACATAACTTACAACTATCTGTAATTATATCTAGCTTCTCATTCATCAATTACCATATCTAAATATCTCTTTATATGTCTACGATTAGATATACATGCATAAATGTATATCTATGCATATACACATATCGATATACCTGTACAAATACACAGAATTAACTTAGATGCTTTGAAAATATAGAAAGAAAGGATAAATAAGAGGCGGAGGAGGAATTTTGGCGGGAAAGGTGAAGCTGGTGGCGTCCCTAATGTTTACAAACATTACACCCACCTCACCCCCTTTAAATGAACGTGACGACCACCTCACCCCCTTTAAATGAACGTGACGACCACCTCACCCCCTTTAAATGAACGTGACGACCACCTCACCCCCTTTAAATGAACGTGACGACCACCTCACCCCCTTTAAATGAACGTGACGACCACCTCACCCCCTTTAAATGAACGTGACGACCACCTCAACCCCTTTAAATGAACGTGGACGACCACCTCACCCCCTTTAAATGAACGTGACGACCACCTCAACCCCTTTAAATGAACGTGACGACCACCTCACCCCCTTTAAATGAGCGTGACGACCACCTCAACCCCTTTAAATGAACGTGACGACCACCTCAACCCCTTTAAATGAACGTGACGACCACCTCACCCCCTTTAAACGAAAGTGATGACCACCTCAACCCCTTTAAATGAACGTGACGACCACCTTAACCCCTTTAAATGAACGTACAGACCACCTTAACCCCTTTAAATGAACGTGAAGACCACCTTAACCCCTTTAAATGAAGTGAAAACCACCTTAACCCCTTTAAATGAACGTGAAGACCATCTTAACCCATTTAAATGAACGTGAAGACCACCTTAACCCCTTTAAATGAACGTGAAGACCACCTTAACCCCTTCAAATGAACGTGACGACCGTCTCAACCCCTTTAAATGAACGTGAAGACCACCTTAACCCCTTTAAATGAACGTGAAGACCACCTTAACCCCTTTAAATGAACGTGAAGACCACCTTAACCCATTTAAATGAACGTGAAGACCATCTTAACCCATTTAAATGAACGTGAAGACCACCTTAACCCCTTTAAATGAACGTGAAGACCACCTTAACCCCTTCAAATGAACGTGACGACCGTCTCAACCCCTTTAAATGAACGTGAAGAAAACCTCAACCCCTTTAAATGAACGTGACGACCACCTCAACCCCTTTAAATGAACGTGACGACCACCTCAAACCCTTTAAATGAACGTGATGACCACCTTAACCCCTTTAAATTAACGTGAAGACCACCTTAACTCCTTTATATGAACGTGAAGACCACCTTAACCCATTTAAATGAACGTGAAGACCACCTTAACCCCTTTAAATTAACGTGAAGACCACCTTAACCCCTTTAAATGAACGTGAAGACCACCTTAACCCCTTTAAATGAACGTGAAGACCACCTTAACCTCTTTAAATGAACGTGACGACCACCTTAACCCCTTTAAATGAACGTGACGACCACCTTAACCCCTTTAAATGAACGTGAAGACCACCTTAACCTTTTTAAACGAACGTGAAAACCACCTTAACCCTTTTAAATGAACGTGAAGACCACCTTAACCTCTTTAAATGAACGTGAAGACCACCTTAACCCCTTTATATGAACGTGAAGACCACCTTAACCCCTTTAAATGAACGTGAAGACCACCTTAACCTCTTTAAATGAACGTGAAGACCACCTTAACCCCTTCAAATGAACGTGACGACCGTCTCAACCCCTTTAAATAAACGTGAAGACCACCTTAACCCCTTTAAATGAACGTGAAGACCACCTTAACCCCTTTAAATGAACGTGAAGACCACCTTAACCCATTTAAATGAACGTGAAGACCATCTTAACCCATTTAAATGAACGTGAAGACCACCTTAACCCCTTTAAATGAACGTGAAGACCACCTTAACCCCTTTAAATGAACGTGAAGACCTCCTTAACCCCTTCAAATAAACGTGACGACCGTCTCAACCACTTTAAATGAACGTGAAGACCACCTTAACCCCTTTAAATGACGTGAAGGCCACCTTAACCTCTTTAAATGAACGTGAAGACCACCTTAACCCCTTTAAATGAACGTGAAGACCTCCTTAACCCCTTCAAATGAACGTGACGACCGTCTCAACCCCTTTAAATGAACGTGAAGACCACCTTAACCCCTTTAAATGAACGTGAAGGCCACCTTAACCTCTTTAAGTGAGCGTGAAGAAAACCTCAACCCTTTAAATGAACGTGACGACCACCTCAACCCCTTTAAATGAACGTGACGACCACCTCAAACCCTTTAAATGAACGTGATGACCACCTTAACCCCTTTAAATTAACGTGAAGACCACCTTAACTCCTTTATATGAACGTGAAGACCACCTTAACCCATTTAAATGAACGTGAAGACCACCTTAACCCCTTTAAATTAACGTGAAGACCACCTTAACCCCTTTAAATGAACGTGAAGACCACCTTAACCCCTTTAAATGAACGTGAAGACCACCTTAACCTCTTAAATGAACGTGACGACCACCTTAACCCCTTTAAATGAACGTGACGACCACCTTAACCCCTTTAAATGAACGTGAAGACCACCTTAACCTTTTTAAACGAACGTGAAAACCACCTTAACCCTTTTAAATGAACGTGAAGACCACCTTAACCTCTTTAAATGAACGTGAAGACCACCTTAACCCCTTTAAATGAACGTGAAGACCACTTTAACCCCTTTAAATGAACGTGAAGACCACCTTAACCCCTTTAAATGAACGTGACGACCACCTCAACCCCTTTAAATGAACCTGAAGAGTACCTTAACCCCTTTAAATGAACGTGAAGACCACCTTAACCCCTTTAAATGAACGTGAAGAAAACCTCAACCCCTTTAAATGAACGTGACGACCACCTCAACCCTTTTAAATGAACGTGACGACCACCTCAACCCCTTTAAATGAACGTGACGACCACCTTAACCCCTTTAAATTAACGTGAAGACCACCTTAACTCCTTTAAATGAACGTGAAGATCACCATAACCTCTTCAAATGAACGTGAAGACCACCTTAACCCCTTTAAATGAACGTGAAGACCACCTTAACCCCTTTAAATGAACGTGAAGACCACCTTAACCCCTTTAAATGAACGTGAAGACCACCTTAATCCCTTTAAATGAACGTGAAGACCACCTTAACCCCTTTAAATCATTCGCCGCTTGACCTGAGCAGAGTGCGGACGTGTGACTACTGCCCTCTGCTGGCCATTGGAGGAGACTTATATTTTCACAACATGGCGCAGTCTGTGAGAAGGCGTGTGCACACGGTGTGCCTTGAATTGGTGCGTGGTGCAACAACGGCTCAGTCTGCACAAGTGCTTTTACCGCAAATTATCCGTGACACCTATGGTGTTGCGGATCAAGGACTGTATGGTGTGGCGCTAAATGGTGCCTATCGTATTTTCGTCAAGTTGAGATCAGCTGGAGTGTATGAACGGCTGGTTGACAAGTACCAGGACGGGAGTGTGGACGTTAATTCAGCGATATGTGTTCGACTCATCGATGTGTCTAGGCATTACACATGGGTGAAAGTCCGAAATGTGCCATTTGAGGCAGATGAGACTGACCTGCGGAATGTATTTGAACAGTATGGAACTGTACACCTGGCTATGGCTGGTAAATGGATGGATGGGGCGTATGCCGGCTTGCCGGATGGTACGTTCACGCTCAAGATGACGTTGAGGCATTCCATCCCGTCGTACGTCATACTGGACGCATTTAGGATGCAGGTAATGGTGTACTACGCTGGGCAGCAGAAGACGTGTAGGTTATGTAGTGCATGTGACCATATGGCAGCCCAGTGTGGGAGATGGCAGCGGAGACAGGAACTAGGTAGTGAGATGGTGAAAGAGCCAGAACTGGAGGTGGGTCATGCTGATGAGTCACCTGTACATAGAAGTGGCACTTCCTGGAGTGAGGAAGTGGAGCGTGAGCTGCCACTGGTGGGTACCAGCCCATCACTGTCACAGTGGGATGTGAGGCATCTGCCTTGGAGACCGGGAAGACTGTGCAGAGTGGTGAAGTGCGGGTAGAGGGAGGCCTACTGGTGAACGTGAAGGAAAAATCCTTTGAGAAGAAGGTTTCTGAGGATAACTTGAGGATGGTGAGGAGTCCTGTTCAGATTGAAGATGAGCAACTTGGAAAATTGGCGAACATGGCAGATGACTCGCCAGGAGTGGTGGAAGTGATTGAGGTGAATGCTGAGATTCACAGGGAGGCATCCAGTTGGAAATGGATGCGGAGAGTTTCAACCATAAGAGGGCGGCGACATATTCCGACTCGGATGATGTTTTGACCCCGGCACAGAGACCGGGGAAAAAGCCATGGGTTGATGTGGTGCGTGGGAGCTCTAAAGGTACGCCTGGTCCGGTGTTGGATCAGGGGAAGCCACAAGTGGGCAGTGGAGAGAAAAGTGGAAGAAGCAGACACACTGGAAGCGTGTCAGTGAAAGGTGAAATGGGGCAGAGGGTGAAATCACATAAGTAGGTTTCCGGTGCATGACAGTGAATATTAATGGATTGTGTGCGAGTGAGAAGCGTCTATGGGTAAAGGGATTTTTAAGACGTTATGCTATAGACA